GTGTGTGTGTGTGTGTGTGCGTACGTGTGTGTTGTGTACGTGCTGATAAATAGTTCTCTCTGACCTCAGGTCTGGTTACGTTGGCTTGTTTCTGTCGCTCGTCTCCGCAGCAGCTGATCATTTAAAGGAGCAGTCCGAGGAAACGCTCGTTTGAAAGTCACACGGTGACGGATCAGTTTCACCGCAGTGACGGTGCAGGGTGTGTTTACAAAGACTGGAATCCTGAGGAAACCTAGTGTTCAGCTACAAACTTAATTTCCATGTTTTACTTCCTGCAGTCCGCCGGGTCACGTCCTCGACGGAGAGGACTTAAGAGACGGTTGTTCTGAGGTTTGAACACAACGTCTTCGTGAACCTCGGAGAAGCTCAGACAACTGCAACATGGCTTCTTACCGACTCCTCTGGCGGCCGGTTGATCTTGGCCCAGTCGACCCCGGGACCTTTGACCTGAAGGAATCTGTGGAAGAGCTTCTTGAATCCATCAAATTCTTTTCTGGAGATCTGCAACAGAAAAAAAAAAATCAGCTGCTTCTTCAGAAAACCTGCTGAGAAGATTATCTTATCTCCAGTTATTAAATACACACACTGAGACAACAGCATCAAAATATTATGTTGGTATCAGCCCCAAAAGATCTGTATCTGTAAAGTGTTCTTTTTAGAATCCATAAAATAATGAATCATCATTAATGTCACTTTGACTCAGTTATAAAATAAAGATGAACATGAGTCGGACGATTCGCAGAGAAGTTTGAAATCATGTGTGTGTGTGTGTGTGTGAGTGTGTGTGTGTGTGTGTGTGTGTGTGTGTGAGTGTTTCCCTGCAGGACCTCTGGGTCATTCACCTCATGTTCTACCAGCAAGATAATACTCTCCTCCAGCAGAGTGTGAGTCTGTGTGTGTGAGTGTGAGTCTGTGTGAGTGTGAGTCTGTGTGTGAGTGTGTGTGTGAGTGTGAGTCTGTGTGTGTGAGTCTGTGTGTGAGTGTGTGTGTTCAGATAACATGATGAACTCTGGTGACAAATATTTGTTGTACGGGTGAAAACAGTTTATCTGTGGAAAGTGACGAAAACGAAGCTTCTGCTGTGATGAATGTTCTGAGGCTGCGTCTCATTTCTAAACCAGAAGAATCTCCGTCAACACTTACGTTGGATATTTGCTCGCATGTTTGCGTAAACCATCGTGTGTATAATTCTACGTCCTGCGCGTGTTACTGCAGTATTCCACTAGGGGGCACACCAGAGGACTCAAACTGTAGCAAACGCTCAGATTTGCATTCTGTAAATAAAAAACATGGCGACCTTTAAATCGATGACAGTGGCGAGAACACGGCCCCCGCTGTTGAAGTGTTCATTTCTATAAACGTGCACGCCTGAAATCACGTCATGTGACCGTTAACGATTTGAACCACGTGGCTGAGACTTTGTTCAAATAGCTGATAAATGAGCTGAATGAATCTGTGGCGTCGCTGCTCTCTCACCTCCGCCTCCGTCTTATTGGCGGAGACGAGCAGCGCCTCCAGCTCACGGTGCATCAACTCCTCGTGCTGCTGCCGGAGCTTCTCCTGGAACTCCGTCATCACTCCTCTGGTCAGGACTGCAACACAGACGTTTGAACACAGACGTTTGAACACAGACGTCAACTCAGCGACGACGAAACAGCAAAACCAAGCCGATCAATTAAAACTGAATAAAATAAGCGGTTAAATCTACAACATTTAAATAAAAGCCAGATATAAAAAGTAAAATATTTATTTCAGTTCTTCTGTATCTGAGTAAAGTAAGTACTTAAAAGTATTACCAAAAACAGACAAACAAAAACCAGTACAACACACACCAGTTACTTTATTCTGAAATCCATAAATATCACTTCTAGATATTCGACAGTGACCTTGAACTGACCTTTAACGACCTCGATCAGATGAAACTAACATGAAAACACACACTGCGGTTTTTTGGGCTAAAATCTTAGTAGGTTTAAAATTTCAATCTCTCATGTAAACAGAACAACACGGAGGAAAACTACAGACAACGAACAACAGTCCAGTGAAAACTAAACTGATAAACCAGTTTCATTTATATTACATTATATTAATTATAGAATTTATTTTTTCTGCATATTTTCATTCTTTCGTTTCACAAATTCAAAACATTAGAATTTCTTTAAATTGAATCAGATCAAAGGATTTTCAAAGTACATTGTAAGGCTGAAGACATGACAACAAATGTTTGATTTAATTAATTTACACGCGAAGACGACATGTGGATGTATTTATTTATTGTGCAAGTTTAGCTTCGAGATTAGTTACGTTAGATTCTGTTTTTACTTCTTAGTGTTGTGTTACATTTGTAAACGTTTGTTAACTGTCGTCAGTAAAGTGTTTGTCGTGTTTTGTCGATAAACACGGATTGAAAGCAACAACTGAACGACTCACGGATTTGACAATTTGCACGATAAATATCGATACTGACTGATTATTTTTGACATTAACATTTTTGGCCACTATCAGTTACATCATTATATTAAACGAATTAGACGTTAGCGTAGCCGTTTGCACGCAGTCGACCTGGGTTCGTTTCCAGGCCAATGCAAATGTTTCCTACATTTGCCTTATGATCAGTTAAGTATCTCA